AAAAACTTAGTTAACTTTAGGAAAAACAAACAAATATGCGCACATAAAAGTCCAAATCATTGTAATAATAAGGTGGTTTTTTTGCAGACTCAATAATAATAAATAATTAATAATAATTAATAATGTACAGTTGTATCTATTCTTTATTGGACCTAAACAGAATAGAAACACAAAGAAGGTGCTTTGCATGTTCTTGTCTTTTTGTTGCTGTTGTTTCTTTTGCTTTTTTGGTTGCTGTTTTTTGTTTGTTTAAGAATTGCTAGCTAGTAGGTCTGCGTCTGTGAAAAGTGATATTTGTATGATTGTTAATATCAATTTTCACAGCAGCAGACTTGTTAGCTAGCTGGGAGCAGTGAAAAGTGATATTAACAAACATACAAATATCACTTTTCACAGCAGACTTACTCAGCCCTGGCAAGCTGGGGGACAAATTAAGCCTTGGATGGGGAGGTGGGTAGGGAGGCAAGTGGGGGCCAAGGGTGATGAGGGGATTGGTGAGCCCAAAGACCAGCAGCCGGAGCCTGCTGCCTGCCATCACAGGGCTGAAGCCAGAAGCCTGAGCCCCACCGCCCACAGGAAGATGGGGAACTCATGCTGACTGTCTGCTCCTCTGGTGTTTGTGATTCCAAAAGGGGGAAGGGCCCGTCCCCTCCTCCCTCGTTATCGCCCAGGCGGCTGTGACGGCAAGAAAAGCCTGTGGTGACTGCATTTGAGAAACGTAGCACATCTTGCAGAGGTAGGGCCTGATTTAATACCCAGTGGAGTCAATAGGTGTTAGGTTGGGCCCTGAGTACCTCACTTCTCAGAGTGCTGAATGCCTGCAGCTGCCACTGACCTCAGCTGGTGTGCTGGGTGCTGAGGAGTTCTGCACTCATGCATTATGGCAATAATTTGCAATGTTCTTCCCTTTGTGTCCCCCACCTCCTGCCACATTCCCCAAGGCTTTGACCTTTCCAGGCTATAAATATATCTGGGAGGGTCACAGTCTGGGGCTTGTGGGACAGGGGAGTCGGCAAGACCAATCCTGTACCCTGTTTAAAAAAACATAAACAAACCTGTCTCTTTCCCCTCCCCCATACAACCGTCCTTGATGCAGTCCTGGCCCCTCTGTCCTTCTGTGGGGAAGGTTGAAGGGGGTTCTGCTCAGAGCCCTGCTACCAAGGCTCTTGATAAGCCAGCAGGCAGCACTGTCAAGGGACGTGCAGCTTTAGCCTCTTGCTCAGTCTCCAAGAACGAAAAGCATGACAGACCAGCTCAGCGAGTGAGATTCAGAGGGTTAAACTTTACTCTTATTCGTGCTGTTCTAACTCTGAAGCAGCCCCATTAAAGTTAGGGGGGTGGTCATGGTAGCTGTTTAATTCAATGTGTGACAGTAGCACCAAGAAGACTCAATCTGGATCAGGGCCCTGTTTGCCAAGTTTACACTAGTTTAACTCTGAGCAGAATATGGTTCAGTGATTAGGATTCACACTCCCATTTGGCAGCCAGCCAGTGCCACTGAGTCAGGCCTGGCATTTGAGCCGTTGGGGCTTGTAACTGTGCCTTCTTGGGTCACAACTGAGAATGCCAAATTCAGGACACAATGCTGAGAAATACGGCAGATACACTCCAAGACTGGTGGCTAATCTCTCATAGGATGTACCAAACCGGCAACAAAAGTAAACTTCTGTTTCACCACCCTGGCTAACAAGAAGTCATAAAAGCAGTTTCCTCAGGCATTCCAGTCCTTGTATTACCACCGAAAACACTAGACTTAGAGATGAGTGGTTCTTTAAAACCAATCTCTGCAAGTAAAAGGTTCTTCTGATCCCAAAGGACCAGCCACACACCCAGGTCAATATATAACTTGGATCTTACCCAAAAATCATGCTGGTTCCAGTCCTTTAGTATCTAAAAGTTTATTCATAAAAAGAAAGAAAGGTGAGAGCTAAAATTGGTTAGAGGAATCAAATACATATAATAAATGAACCTCCTTGGTTCAGGCTTGCAGCAGTAATGGAATAAACTACTGGCTTGGTAAGTCAAGTCTCTGGCTGCTTCCAAATCATTGGAAAGTCCTCCGTCCATTGGTTAGAATGCTCCCATTGGCATAGTCCAGAGGTTTGGGCAGGAAAGAGGCAAAATGGAGGAGTTTCCAGGGCCTTTTATCTCTTCTGCCATGTGGCGGGAATCTCCTTGTTCTTACTCTTGAAAAGTACAGTAACAAGATGGTGGTTGGAGTCACATGGACAAGTCACATGTCCATGCATTTCACCTAGTCATTGCAGAAAGCCATTACCTATACTTCAGATGGAACATCCGCAGGACAGTCCATTTAGTGTAGATGGGAGTCTCCCATGGTCCATTGTCAGTTAAGTGTTTCTTGATGAGCCACTTAATTTGAATAGTCCCTCCAAGATGTGCTGGCTAAATACCTTGTGGGCATAACCCCCGGAGCAAACATTTGAAATTCAGGTATAGAGCCAATACTCATAACTTCAAATACAAAAGTGATACATGCATACAGATAGCATAATCAGAACCAGCAAATCATAAGCTTTTCACAGACGCCTCACTTGATGACCTTTGTACAAGATTTGTTGCAAATATATAACAGTGGTTGCAACAATGATCGATGTGGTCATATTTTAATCAGATAACGTCACAGGGCCATTGCCCTCTTTCTGCCTCAATGAACTCAGGTATTCAGACATCAGACGTTAAGCTGATTTGATTATTGTTCAACCGCCAGGTGTTGCCAGTGTTGGCAGAGGAGCTGGCAGAGATCACAGATGATCCAGAGTCCAAAGCCGGTCCCCTGCTCTGCCTCTCCCAGAATTCCACTGTGGATTTCCTCAGGCCAGTTAAAATTCAGCTCCCGCTACCTCCAGGGGTCACAGGTTAGTATATGCCCAGAAATGGCAATGGAAAGCTGTGCTAAAATCATACTACTTGCTAGGTTATTTTTCAATTTCCCCCAGGGAATTGATGTAATAAACTAAACTGTGAACAAACGGCACCTTTCAGGGTTTGTGCATTGGACCCTGATATTCCTAACCACAAATCTTAGTACATCAGTAGTAGAAGAACTGTAATAGGCTGCTAATATTTCCCACAGCTTTCTGAAGTGTGTTGGTGGGATAGGTCCCCTTTCATCATAAAGGAATACTGACACCAATGCCATCCCATGGAAACAAGATATTCCTCCCTCATTCCAGAGTAATGGATCAAAAGAGGTTGGGGAGGTGGGAAAACACTTTGCCATCTACAGAAAATGCTCTCTTTTGATTTAATGCCTTCTGGCTCCCCAAATGCTTCACAAATATTACATACTGTTTAAATGCACAAGAGTAAATGAAAGCAACGGTAAGGTTGTAAATTTGGTGCCTGATTCTGATCTCGGTGTGAATCATGAGTGACTCCATTGGAATTGCAAGTAGAATCAGGCTTTCCAACGCTAGCAATTCAGGAAATGTAAAGATGTAGGTTCCAGCAGTGCGCAGAATATGGATTGATTATATTGTGAACCAACATCAGCGACTGACAAGCTGCTCTTTAGCTGCAATATTCACCTAATAAAGGTGAAGCAAAACTGGACTGGGTACATCCTGGTGATGCTTGGGAAGTGGTCTTTTTTAATACAGGATCTAGACCAATAAGGGTGATCTCTGGTACATTTCACAATGTATTCATCAAAAATATTATGGCTGTTTTGGATTCCCAGTTCCCATTGATTTTAAGCAGTGCTTTAATCTGTTTTGAAAATCTCAGCCCATCATCGTAGCCAGGCTTACAATGTCTATGCTCCAGTCTTCAATAATTGGTCATTTTTTTGGATTTGCATTTTTGTAGTAGTAGCCTTTGAGCAATTATTAGTGCTCTGCTTAGCCACAGTTTTTCAGGTGCTTCTAGTTAACATCCATTAGGTTTAAAAGTACATGTTTAGCTGGTAACCCAATTTTATTTCATTGGAAAAAATTAACTCTGCAATTAAGTTATGCCCAAAACATACAT